TCCCCCAAGCACAACTCCCTAATTCCAAAGTAGTACATTCTGTAATTAAATGAACACACATATTGCTAATGAATTGAGTGAACACACACACCTACTTCTACTAAAATTGAAGGTTATATTCCTTATTTAGTACATTTATATAAAACAGTGCTCATGCTTTAATCTGAGTGAAAGTTGTATTCCTTATAGGGGCATAGAAAATGATGCTGGTGATTCAGTTACAGTGTCTCTCCTTATATGTGCATAACAAACGGTGCTGGTGCTTGTGTTGCAATGTCTCACACAACTCAATATCCAACAGTATCTAACTTCTAATCATGTGACACAGCTGCCTGCATTTCTGCTTGCTCACAGTCACAGTTGAAGACTATAAATGTCAGATCTCGCACAGTGCAGCTCACTTGATGCTCTCTGCTGTGAGTTTGGTTACAGCAGTCACCATCAGTCAACTGTGTCATCCTTCATTAAACACTGCCCTGTTTTCTTTCATTTTTTTGCATTCAGAGAAACGGATAATGAACCCAGAACAGAAATCTGCTTCAATGTCTAATGCCACATTTGTTCGTCCTGCACAATTTTATCTCAGTGGGTTGTCCAACGTCCCTCATGATAAGTATTTCTATGTCTTCCTGTGTTTTGTCTATATCATGACTGTTCTTGGGAATGGCCTCCTCCTCTCAGTGATTTACCTGGTCAAGACTCTTCATACTCCTAGATACATGATTGTGTTCAACCTGGCTTTGACAGATTTGTGTGGGAGCACTGCTCTCATCCCAAAGCTCTTGGACACATTTTTGTTTGACAGGAGATACATTGTCTATGAGGCTTGTTTAAGTTACATGTTCTTTGTTTGGTTGTTTGCGTATGTGCAGTCATGGACACTTGTGATTATGGCATATGACAGATTTATAGCAATTTGCTTCCCTTTAAGGTACCATAGTATTGTGACTAAACCAGCTATTGCTGCAATGCTGCTGTTTGTGTGGGTTTTTTTACTGAGTGTAGTAGCGTGCACGGTTGGGTTTCTTGATCGTCTCTCCTTCTGTGGATCTGTGGTGATACTAAGTTTTTACTGTGATCATGGACCAGTATATCGTCTGGCATGTAATGACGCGTATTTAAATTACATAATGGCAGTTGTTGGTGCAAGTCTATCTGTTGTAATTCCTCTTGTAGTGATAGCACTGACATATAGTTGCATTGGCATAGCACTGAGCAGGATTGCTTCAAGAGAGGAACATCTCAAAGCTTTGAAAACTTGTACTTCTCACCTGATTCTTGTGGCTTTTTTCTACTTACCACTCTTGGGAACCAACATAGCTGCAACGACCTACATCCATCCTAATGCTAGAATTATAAACTCTACTTTGTCACATATCATACCACCTTTGCTCAATCCTATTATATACTCCTTAAAGACAGAAGAAGTGCTGACATCTGTCAGGAAACTTTATAAAATTTCTAGGCTGAGCAGCATGACTTCATCCAAAAAGGTGACTTCTTTATGATTAGTGTGTTGATACATCAAAATGTGTTTATCATTCTTATATTTAGCAGCTCTTCTTTCTAGCCAGTAGAACAATTTCAGATTTAAAAATAGCGGTTTTCATGTGTAAGCTCATTTACTGTATTTCACTGTTGTAACAGTTTTATATTAATCTTTCCAAATGAAAACAGAGTTATGTTACTATACACTGCCTAAGATATCAATAATGTGGGGGGAATATATCAACAGTTATTTTACAATACTCATAAAGATGTCAATTTTAACAATAAAAAATTACATTATTATTAAAATATTACAACATACTAAATATAATTATGCAGAATGAAATTTGAACACAGAATAGTTTGAGATGCATTTTCAACTCCTTGGTACTTCCATCCATCCATTATCTATACTGCTATGTACTGAAGAGGGCTGTGGGGGGACTGGTGAATGGGTTTAAATCAGAATAAATTGCTTATTAAATCAACCTCTTTACAACCTTCCAAAATATGAATTCTTTAAAGTGGAACAAAACTATATGGGTAATGTCTCAGTGACTTAAGTGACCTCTTTTTCAAGCAAGACATGGCCAGGACAAGTTTTACAAGTTTCAGACAAGGCTGGACAACATCTAACACATCAGTTTAACAAATAACTAGGACATGTATAAAGCTTAAATAGACTAATCTCACAGAGTTTATGTGATGTTGAAATTTCCCTCTGCAAACAGAATAAAGCTTCTAGAGTATAAAAACATGTTTTCTTTTCTTTCTCTGATTGTATGCAGCAGAAATGTCTTGTGAGCTAAGATTATGAATTAAGTTCGAAAATATATGAGAGAATGGCTTTAAAAATAAAAATATAGAGTTTAACTCAAGCAGTGCATAGAGAGAAATGGGCCAGCCCATTCTGGAGTACAAGGCACAGTGATCAGTTTTAAGTTGGTGATAAATCTTTTATAAGAAGTGATGACATCTTTATGTGCATTCACTTTATTTTCTCCTCAGTCTGACACGATGTCGACATGGTGTGAAGCTTTTTTTCTTGAATTAACTTATGTTATGTTTGCATTCAGTAGCTGGATGTGCAAAGACTGTACATCACTATACTGTATGCAGACTAGTTTTTATACATGAAAAGGCCCATTTATTTCACCTGCTGCTCAGGCTCCCGGTGTCCTTCTAGTCTACTGTTCAGTCAGACCACCTTTTCTTAGGCAGCCTTTGCTGTACCAGGACATGATAGAAAGCATCAGACAAATGAATAAGTAAAGCTTGCTGTCATTTGTCATAATAACCTACTGGCACAAGCGACATATGCTGTCGTATTTTAGGACAGCTTCTGAGAGCAGAACGGGAGAGGCTAGCTGCGATGGAGAGGAGAGGGCGGAAAGCTGCCTGTTTGCTTGGGCTGTTTAATGTCCTAATATTTTTTTCCCATGTAAATTGATATCAATTATGTTCGGATCCTTAAACACGTTTGTTTGCAGTTTTTCATATCTCTATGATTGAATTTGAGTTTAACAGTTTTAGTTGGTCTCATCTATGTGGATTTAATAGCGTGTTTGGAGAGGAGATTTCACCTGCCATGCACAAATGAAACATGCATTGTATGTGCAATATGACCAGTCTGCAACCCACGTGCCGTGGGGTTTGGGGGCCTTATGAGATCATCATGTCTCAAGCACGAGCATGACACATGGTGGGCCTGTGAACATCAGTCACATGGTCAGTAACATCCAGCTCAAACGTTTCAACAGCTCAACTGTTTGACACAGACTTGGAAGGACTTGAGGAGTCAACCAAATGTTTAAAATATTTCAACACACTTGTGTATTAGACTTGTATTATTTTTGGGGGGCAGAGACCAGGGAGTATTGCACATTAACTATAAAATATCAAAATATGGCTTTGGACAGACTTTGGATATTATTGACAGAGTACCCAATAATTTCAGGTAGTGCCACTCCAGTCCTGCTACCCTTCTCTACAAAGTGGTTGTGCAAACTGAGCTTTTTGATCCTAACTTAGATTAAGAACAAGAACAGGGAGCAACTGAGGGCTGTGGACCTGGAACTTTGTCTAACTCTCTTCCATCCCTGCCAGAATACAGTGGCTGTGTGTGTCATTCCAGGCTCTGATAATAACATTTACCTCCCCCTCTCTTTCAGTAATCGCTATATTCTGTGTGTGTGTGTGTGTGTGTGTGTGTGTGTGTGTGTGTGTGTGTGTGAGAGAGAGAGAGAGAGAGACAGAGAGAGAGACAGAGACAGATGGGGGCCCAGGACTTGCTTCTAATACTGATATTATCCCTTTGACCCGATACACCAAGTCTTAGGTAAGGCAGCTATTAGATGACGCATTCAAGTTAAATAAACAGATTAGCTCAGTTGTCAAAGTGAACTTGTTTCACTTCATCAGATCGATGACAATTACAGATTGGAATTATACCACTTTTCATGATCATGTGACATCTACTTGTTCCTGCATTTCTACTGTCCCTTAATGAATGGGTTAAAATATAAATAACATGTCTCTGACAGTGCAGGTCGCTTCAAAGAACAGCACACTTGACACTGTCTGTGGGGAATTTGGTTACAACAGTTTCCATCATTTAATTGTGTCATTCTTTGTTATTATATATTGTGTTGTTTGTTCATTTTATATTTAGGTAAAGAAATAATGAACCCTGAACAGAAAACTGCTACCACATTAAATGCCACATTTGTTCGTCCTGCACAATTTTATCTCAGTGGGTTGACCAACATCCCTCATGATAAGTATTTTTATGTCTTCCTTTGTTTTGTCTATATGATGACTGTTCTTGGGAATGGCCTCCTCCTCTCAGTGATTTACCTGGTCAAGACTCTTCATACTCCTAGATACATGATTGTGTTCAACCTGGCTTTGACAGATTTGTGTGGGAGCACTGCTCTCATCCCAAAGCTCTTGGACACATTTTTGTTTGACAGGAGATACATTGTCTATGAGGCTTGTTTAAGTTATATGTTCTTTGTTTTGTTCTTTGTAAGTATGGAGTCATGGACACTTGTGATTATGGCATATGACAGATTTATAGCAATTTGCTTCCCTTTAAGGTACCATAGTATTGTGACTAAACCAGCTATTGCTGCAATGCTGCTGTTTGTGTGGGTTTTTTTACTGAGTGTAGTAGCGTGCACGGTTGGGTTTCTTGATCGTCTCTCCTTCTGTGGATCTGTGGTGATACTAAGTTTTTACTGTGATCATGGACCAGTATATCGTCTGGCATGTAATGACGCGTATTTAAATTACATAATGGCAGTTGTTGGTGCAAGTCTATCTGTTGTAATTCCTCTTGTAGTGATAGCACTGACATATAGTTGCATTGGCATAGCACTGAGCAGGATTGCTTCAAGAGAGGAACATCTCAAAGCTTTGAAAACTTGTACTTCTCACCTGATTCTTGTGGCTTTTTTCTACTTACCACTCTTGGGAACCAACATAGCTGCAACGACCTACATCCATCCTAATGCTAGAATTATAAACTCTACTTTGTCACATATCATACCACCTTTGCTCAATCCTATTATATACTCCTTAAAGACAGAAGAAGTGCTGACATCTGTCAGGAAACTTTATAAAATTTCTAGGCTGAGCAGCATGACTTCATCCAAAAAGGTGACTTCTTTATGATTAGTGTGTTGATACATCAAAATGTGTTTATCATTCTTATATTTAGCAGCTCTTCTTTCTAGCCAGTAGAACAATTTCAGATTTAAAAATGGTGGTTTTCATGTGTAAGCTCATTTACTGTATTTCACTGTTGTAACAGTTTTATATTAATCTTTCCAAATAAAAACAGAGTTATGTTACTATACACTGCCTAAGATATCAATAATGTGGGGGGAATATATCAACAGTTATTTTACAATACTCATAAAGATGTCAATTTTAACAATAAAAAATTACATTATTATTAAAATATTACAACATACTAAATATAATTATGCAGAATGAAATTTGAACACAGAATAGTTTGAGATGCATTTTCAACTCCTTGGTACTTCCATCCATCCATTATCTATACTGCTATGTACTGAAGAGGGCTGTGGGGGGACTGGTGAATGGGTTTAAATCAGAATAAATTGCTTATTAAATCAACCTCTTTACAACCTTCTAAAATATGAATTCTTTAAAGTGGAACAAAACTATATGGGTAATGTCTCAGTGACTTAAGTGACCTCTTTTTCAAGCGAGACATGGCCAGGACAAGTTTTACAAGTTTCAGACAAG